CACCATATCAGCGGTGGGCAGCTGACCCCCCAGGGCACCTTCCAGGAGGCAGCCAGAGCCTGGGCTTGCTGCTGGAGGACATGCTGAGGATGGAGCTGGGTTTCACTCCAAAGACAAGCCCCAAAGACAAGCACGTACACCCCCAGGCTGGAGGGACTTGATAGTGCAGGCCTCCCTGTCCCTCCAATACTTTGCTTCTCCCTCCCAGCACGATGAGTGGGGCAGCAGGTTGGCAGGGTCTCTTGGTTGAAGTTTTGCCTGTTCTTTGCCTCATGTCCTTGATCTGTGTATTTCTGTTACTCTAAGCGGAGAATCTGGTGCTGGTAAGACTGTAAACACCAAGCGGGTCATTCAGTACTTTGCCATTGTCGCAGCCTTGGGCGACACACCGGGCAAGAAATTAGTAAGACCCTGTTTTGAAACAAGTTCTTGCTGTTTTCTTCCTTTCTTTTTTTTCTTTTTTTTTTTCTTTTTACCCCCTTCCCCCTTTCTTCTTCTTTTTGTTTTTCTCTTTTTTTTTTCCCTTCCCCCAACTTTTTGCATTTGGAAGCGTGTTTTGGTCTGACCCACCCAGGGCTTGGCTTTTCCTTGACTTTTGAACAAGCAAGGCTTGAAATTATTCTGCTCAAGGGGAAATGGAATTTTTTATATTTTTATTTTTTTTTAATGTGTCTGCTCAGTCTGTGCAGCCTGGAAGAGGTGCTTTAGATCCCCTCTTGACCTTCTCTTCCTCCTTCAACACCCCACAGATCTTCTTCTTAAAAGAATGGAGTAAACCTGCCATTTCCCACCTTGCCTCTTTTAAGCCTTGCTTTTCGTCCTTTTCTCCTTCTTTTTTTTTCCCTCCTCTTGTTCATTTTGACCCTTTTCTACCTTGTGCTTTTCTTGCTCTTGTTTTGATTCTTGCATTTCTTTGGTGCTGGTTATTTTTGAGCTGCTCTTGCAATTGCTTCTTTCTTCTTGATACGTTGAGGCTCCAGCCTGCTTTTCCCTTGTAGAAGCAAACTGGCTGCTTTAGGTATCAGACAAGCAATACTTCAGCGTTTATTTTCTTTACTCTTCTTTGGGTTTGGATTTAACTGTTCTTGCTTTTTGATGCATTTCTTTATTTTCTTGAGCTAATCTATTTAACAACTTTTTGGCATCTCTTATAAAATTTAATCCTCCCTTTTTTTTTTTTTTCTTGGACGTTTTTTTGGCACTAAATGATCATGCCCTGCTTTTCTGACCATGCTTCTTGTGGTTCTTGCCTGGCTTTTCTGGATTTCTAAAGAAAATTTTCTTTTCCTTTCTCTAGGCAGCTCTTGCCACTAAAACTGGGGTAAGTGTTGTAGACTCCTAATCTTTAATGCTGAGGACAGAGTTGTGCTGCACCGCAGGGTTATGGTGGGGTGATGAGGAATGTCTGTGTGGGGCCTCTGCCTTGGGTCTGGGAGCAAGGGCTGCCCCAGCATCTGGGCAGCATTTAGTTCTCCTCTTGGCTTTGTATCTCCCACCTTCCCCTAGTTTGAAGCTTTGGTGTTTCATCTCTTAGTGACTTTCTACCTTTCTGATGCCAACCTCTCCTTCAAGGGATCATTACTCTTCAGATGATTGTTTCTAACCAGCACAGTGTCTGCCTGGGGGTGGTGTGGGCTCCTCCAAAGATAAGGTGAAGCCTCCACTCCCTGAGCCATTAGTGTCCTGCCAGCCCGGAAGCTCAGCTGAGGGCAACGGTGGTGAGGAGCAGGGGAAGAGCCTCTTTGCTGCAGGCAGCACTGTGCTCTGGCTGCAGAGTGGGGTCCTGATGATGCCTGGACATGCCACCCTCTGCAAAGACCTGAACTGCCTTGGCCCACCACATTGGAGGCAGCTGATGTCCTTCTCTGGGGTGAATTTCTGAGGTGCTTGCTTAGCTCGAAGGAAACAACTTCAGAAATCCAGCAAAGGTTCAGTCCCTGGTACTCCCAGCACCCCAAAGGCTCAGCCATTTCAGCAGCTCAGTCGTACTTCCTCAGCCCTCAGTTTCTCTGAATGCTGAGGGACAACCTTTAGGTGATGCACACTCTTGGTTTGGGGATGCTCATTAACAGGAGTCTCAGACCACTTGGGCAAACTTACTAAGAGCAAGATAGCTGAGGGGCTCAAGCTGTGGGTCCTGGGGCAGCCCCCATTAATTCTCACAGACCAGGCAATTTTAGATGAGGCTGAGTTTAAAGGTAAGAGATCAAAGGCTCTCCGAGTGACCAAATGCAGAATCATGAAGCTGTGATTCACAGCTGCTCCCTGTCTCTTTTGCCCTTCACATGCCTGGAGCTGCAGAGGTGGGCAGCAGTTGTGGGCCCAACGTTGAAAAGACAACACAGCTCTTGGTGGGCAGAGCCCAGAGCTGGTGTTCTCCAGGAAAGCCCTATGGACTGTAATGTGTCAGAGTATGGGCAAAAGCTCCCATGAAAAATCCTGCAGGTGCCTGTACCACCAAACTCTACTACTGTTGTCCTTTGTGCAGCTTGGCACAAGTCTCTTGCTTCTCACCTTGAATTCTTATCCTGCTTTGCCTGCATTAAGGTAGAGGCTGTCTTCATCTTTGAACTGTGCCTGTGAAATACAAATAGAAAAACGAGATTAGGGAAGATTAATCTTGGAGCTTGTTCAGGAGAACTTCAGTAAGTTCAGCAGATCACGCCAGCTGAGACCTGTGATGTGTTCCCACCACACTGTGACCCTGCTATGCATGATGTTGATGTAGAGAGTCATAGATCAAGCCAGTTTTCTGGATCTCTTCTGTTGCAATGTGCTGTGATTTGGACTGTCCAGGACTTTGGTTTGGTGGAAGAGGAAATGCCTGGCAGAGTTAAAGAGCCTGAAATGTTTCAGACTGTTGTGACAACATGTGCCTGCTCTTGGTTTGCATATTGTAGGAGCCTGAGAAAGGGGCTAAGGACTGCTGTGTGCAGAGGGGCCAGTAGACTGGATCATCAAAGGGGCCAGTTAAGGCAAGAAGAAGCCCACAGAGAGCATTGTTGCAAAAAAACCTAGCTCTGCTGACCCCTAAACCGAGCTGCATTGTCTCCTGAAACAAGGAGATGCCTCAGGAGCAGGAGGCTCTTAAAGACAGCCTAGCAGGCAGATGGTGCAAGGAGCCCCACTCTGTTTCCCTGAGTTGTTGGTAACAGCCCCTCTGGCTGGGAAGGAGCTGACAAATCCTTTGTTTTTTTGTTTTCCAGGGCACCCTCGAAGATCAAATCATAGAGGCTAACCCAGCTATGGAAGCTTTTGGCAATGCCAAAACCATAAGGAATGACAACTCCTCGCGTTTTGTAAGTGTCTTGGCAAGGCAGAGAGCTGATGAGCCGTGTTTATGTAAAGCTGAATACATCACTTGTGCTATTGTGTTTTGTACGGTGGAGCCAAAGGCACGCAGGAGGAAGCTGGCTCTGCTTCCTACTGGGACTGGACTGCTGAGGCCAAGCTGCTTCTGGTTAAAATCAGTGCAGTAAATGGTGTGCTGCTCAGAATGAATTGCTCTAGTGTCACAGCCTGTGGCTGGAGAGAAATCCCTTGCAGGACCAAAGTTGAGAGGGACAGTAAGCACAGTCTGAGGTGCTGGAGCTGGGACAGACAAGTGTGCCTCTTCCAGGGAGCAGCATCTGGTTTGGTAAGCCCAGCCTGGGTCTGCTGTGAGATGCAGAGCTCATCAGCCACAGGTGGCTTCCATGCCTGTTCTTGTGCCTTGGAGGGAAAGGAGACACTCCTGGGTGAGATTCCTCAGCACAGAGCAGGAGGCTGAGGGCAGGCTCAGCATCACACTGCCCCACAGAAGAGCTGAGCTTTAAGAACAGGCCTGAAGACAGGGATTTATCTGCTGTGAGTGAAATATCTGCTTGCCTAGTGTTTAAAGCCTTAGGTGATGCTGTCTGACCCTCTGCACATTACAAACAAGAGAACTTCGCCCACCTACCCCCCATGGAGCCCAGTAACTTGCCTGGCATCAGCAGAAGCCCTAAGAAATGGGAAATTACCAAATGTCTTGTAGTTGTCTGAGATTTGTAGGAGCTGTTCAGAATTGTACTTGTGTAGCCAAGCTCAGCACTTACCTCCTGCACATGTTTTCAGGGCAAGTTCATCCGGATCCATTTTGGCCCCTCAGGGAAGCTGGCCTCTGCAGACATTGACATCTGTGAGTAAACACATGCCAGCTGCAGTGGGGAGGGATTTCATCTCCCCATTTGTGCCAATGCTGGGTCAGCTCCAGGAAAGAACAAGCCCTCCTCTAACCCCTCTGCCCTACTTGATCCTTAGACCTTCTGGAAAAATCAAGAGTGATTTTCCAACAACCCAAAGAGCGAAGCTACCACATCTACTACCAGATCCTCTCTGGGAAGAAACCAGAGCTGCAAGGTAAGGCAGCCAAAGCTGCAGCATAGCCTTTATAGCACGGTGGCTTGAAAATAGCCACAAAGGGCTCTGTTGTCAGGTTTGAGGCTCATAGGGACTGAGGAAACCTAGCTCACTGCCTTCAAATGCTTTGCTGGCTGCACAGGATCATAGGATCAGTGGATAACTCAGGGTGGAAGGGATTTCAAGATGTCATCTGGTCCAGCCTCCTTTATCCTCACAGGCAGAGAAGCCAGACTAAAGCCCTTTCTGGACCTGTTTGGGAGCAGAGAAATGGTCACTCAGGGTCTGTCTGCAGGGTGGGAGCACGCTTTGTAGAGCTGCCTTGCACAGAGTCATCATCACATGGCAGTTACAGCACTGACCTCAGCTTGTCCAGGATGGATATTTACTCATTTTGGGGTGGGGGCAAGTGTTTTGCAGCCCTCTCTGAGCTCCTTCAGCCACCCTAATGAGATGACCTCTTTCATGTGAGCTTGAAAACAGCTGTACAGCTCACTGGTAGCAGCAGCCCTGGTGTAGACATATACTAGATGTGTTCCCCAGGAGAGTCCCAGCTGTCCCAAATTTGTGCTGGAGCAGTGCTGTGCTCGGAGTAGCCCTGCCCTCCAGGTGCCAGGCCACACGGACAGCACAGGAAACCCTTCCACACTGCAGAGAGATGGCTGGAACATCTCTTGTGGTTGCCAGCTTCTTGGCTGTGGGCTCTTGAGCCTGTTGCTGGCTCGAGAACAATACCTTATTAGGCAGGTCTGGAGAGTTGTGCTGAGCAGTAATCTTATCTGGTGGTCACAAGGACACGGATGGCCACTTCTAAATCAGTCTTCAGCCAAGCCATATCCTAAGATAGCAAGCAGGAGGCACATCATAGAAGAGATGGACCCATGTGTGGGCCTGCCTGAGTTTACAGAGACTGTCTCATCAGCTAGTGCCCTCTAGTTGAGACCAGTGAAGACCTCTTCATCTGCGGCCAGGGTTGACTCTCTGCTCCAGCTTTGTCTCTGTCAGACTGACCTCACCTTCTGCATGTCTTCCCCCAACAGATATGCTGCTGCTCTCCCTCAACCCCTATGACTACCACTTCTGCTCTCAGGGTGTAACAACTGTGGACAACCTGGATGACGGCGAGGAACTCATGGCGACAGATGTATGTGTACTTCCTTCCCACTGCACAGCCTGAGGCAGGGGACTGGGGGAGGGCACAACCTCCTTCTGGGCAGACATGGGGATGTGTCCTGGCTTTTCTGTGTCCCTCTAAAGTACCTGTGAGTTCCCTCTGGAATATTGGCAGCTGCTCTACACATGCTGTGAGCCTACAAGAAAGAGCAGAGTGACTTTGATGTCCATCAACAGCCTCCTCCAGGCAGAGAAGGGAGAGTAATTCCCTGCATTAGGAAGGGCCTTTAGCACATGAGCACTTCCCATGGCTCCCATGAGGAGATGAGACCTCAGCTCAGAAAACCTCCTGCTTGTGGACACTAGGCTAGTCCTTTTGCTTTCAAATAAATCTTGTGGGAGCTAGACTCACATTCAAAATCCCATGGCCAGGATTCCTTGGCTAGGTGCTGGCCAGGTAGAGCACCCTGCCCAGAGCCCCAGGGATAGGGAGAATGCCTTAGGAGATGGTGGGAGGACCAAGCCTCACCTCAGAGTGGTGATTTTGTTCTATCTATACTGCTTTGCCTCTCCTCAGCACGCCATGGACATCTTGGGCTTCAGCAATGATGAGAAATACGGCTGCTATAAAATAGTGGGCGCTATCATGCACTTTGGCAACATGAAGTTCAAGCAAAAGCAGCGAGAAGAGCAGGCAGAGGCTGACGGCACTGAAAGTGAGTTTGGCTCCATCCTGCCAGATCTGCCCAGCCTGGGTTGGGCATGCAAATTCCTCCAAGGGCAGTCTGTGATAACATCCCTGGCCTGGTCTGTGAAGGTCAGTGACCATGATCCCAAGCAGACACACTGTCTTAGGACCTGCTGTAGGTGCACAAAGGAGCTTGTCCTTGAGCAGGCATATTTAGGACACCCTTTTCTGCAAGCGTTAGGTGGTCTCATTTGCATCAGGCTTGCCTCACAGACTGTCACGCCCTGGCTGTGCTTCACCTTGTTCAGTCTTCTGCTCTTCATCACCTCTTCTCTTGCACTATATTAGACAGCCTTCCAGAGCAGGTTAACCACAGAACATGAGCTAGGCCATGATCAGGACTGCAAGGACCTGCTCAAGTCACAGCCACCTGAAGAGTGGTTAGAGTAGGATACAGTCACTGTCTAAGACTGTTCCTTGTTTGGTGCTTAGGAAAATCCAATGCAAATCATAGATCTAAGAGAGTAGTCAAGCTGCAGAGCAAACCTCAAAATTCAGAGCTCAGGTTCCTTGTTTGGTGCTTAGGAAAATCCAAATCATAGATCTAAGAGAGTAGTCAGGCTGCAGAGCAAACCTCAAAATTCAGAGCTCAGATATTTTCTACTGCAGCTGCAGTGCTGCTCCCAGGCAGGCTTCAAGGAGAGGGTGACTTTCCAGCATGGGGAAGGATGAGAAGGGGGAAACCCTTAACTGGAAGGCTTAAGCAGTAACTACACATCAGCTGAGGCAGGGATCCAGCAGAAATGACTACCTGAATCAGACCTTATCATGCTAACATCCATGAATGAAGAGTTCCCCTTGCCTGAGGAATGTCAACACAGGATACCTGGTAATTACAGAAGATTTTGATCTAGATTTAAAAAAAAAGTGATTTTCTACCTATAGTCTGTTGTTAGGAGTCTACGAGAGATAACCAAGGAAATCACCTCTCTTCTGGTCTGTTCAAATTCTCTGCATGAGAATCCAGTCTTCCACTGGAAAACGCATAGAGAACCCCAGATCCAGAAGACTCAAAACCCTGATAGGCACCTGATAAAGAGCAGCAGGTCTGCTATGGCCATCTCCTCCAAACAGAAACTTCTCAGGCAGGAGGTCCAGACTTTAAAAGCATCATACAATATCCAAAATGGAAAATCACACTAGACACTGGAGGAGACTGGAGCAGGTGGAAAGACTAGTAGAGTTAGCATTGTTCAGCAGAAGACCTGGTAACTTTTACTTTTTTTTTCCTTCCTGGGACTTCCTTGCTGGCTCCTCATGCCTTTGTACTGTTTTACAGGTGCTGACAAAGCTGCCTACCTCATGGGAATCAGCTCAGCTGACCTCATCAAGGGGTTGCTCCATCCTCGTGTGAAAGTGGGCAATGAATACGTGACCAAAGGTCAGAATGTAGAACAGGTGAGTGTGCTGGGACACAGGCTTCCTGCTCACGCTGGTATGTGACTCCTCTGCAGGCAGGACCATCTCATAATGTTTTCTGCACAGGGTGACTGGTGCAGAGAACAGTGACTGGTGCTTCAGTTCACTCCCTGGGGTTTAGGAGGAGACTCCAGAGCAGCATGAGAAGGTGTATCCACAGTCACTGGCTTTTAGCAGCTGGGAAAGTTGGTGGCAGAGCTGGCAGATAACTTTGGATATTAGCCATGGCTCGAGGTTCAGTTCAGTGTCTTTGATGTATGGGTTGGATCACAGCCAGAAGAGGTCCAGTTTCTGTGGATCTGCTTCAGAGACAGTCACACTCCCATGAAGAGTTCAGCTCTGGAAAGTAAAAAAACCTCATGTAAATACTCATCTAAACTGGTCTTGTGGGAGACTCAAATGCACCCAAAATGTATCCTGTCAGATTCCAGCCACATCACAGTGAGGAACCCAAACCTGGCCTGAATAGCACAAGCCAGTCCTGGAGTAAAATTCAAGAGGACTGTAGGAGCTGGTGTCTTATCCAAAGTCAGCTGTATGCTCCTGCCATGCACAAGGCTTCTGAAATATCACATTAGACTGAATCTGTATCCTAAGACCTTGGAGGCCAAGTCCAGGTCAGGGACACAGGAACACACTTGTGAGCATGTGAAAACTAATCTTGGAGCATATACTGTAACCGTGAATTCCCTGGATCTGTCTGTCCTTTGTGTGCCAAGAAGAGCTCTCTTCTTCAACTTCTAGCTCCTACAAAACCTGGGAGAAGCGAGTCCTCATGACCTGCTCTCTGATTTGCTTTGGCAGGTTGTCTATGCTGTGGGAGCCCTGGCTAAAGCCACCTATGATCGCATGTTCAAGTGGCTGGTGACTAGAATCAACAGGACCCTAGACACCAAGCTGGCCAGACAGTTCTTCATCGGAGTACTGGACATTGCAGGCTTCGAGATCTTTGACGTGAGTTCTGCAGGCCCCCTGCAGTGGGTTCAAGAGAATGTTGTAGCTAGACAGCTCAGTCCCCTAGTGACAACTGTATCTTCTCCAAGAAACTGCTGGCCTTGATAAGAAAAAGAGCTCTTATTTCAATTCATTTGTCTGGGGCAAACAGGCAGCTCACAAGGACTATTCTAACATTGCTGTGGGCACATCTCCAATGATTCCTGGCTACCTGCTCTGGTAGCAATCCAGCTGAGCCTAGCAGAGATCACTCTTCATGCCCAGACAAAGCAGAAGAGTGAATCCCTTCACATCTGGAACTCCTCCTTCTGATGCAGATTTGTTTTGTTCTTACAGTACAACAGCTTTGAGCAGCTGTGCATCAACTTCACCAATGAGAAACTGCAACAGTTCTTCAACCACCACATGTTTGTCCTGGAGCAAGAAGAATACAAGAAGGAAGGCATCGAATGGGTCTTCATTGACTTTGGCCTGGACCTGCAGGCTTGCATTGACCTGATTGAGAAGGTAAAGCATGAGTCAGGGCACAGGAATGGTACTTCTAATAGGCAGCTTGTTTGCAAAGGCTGGAACAGTGAGAGATGCTCTGCTACCAGAAATGAAATTATTCCCTCCCCAGTCAGTGGCAAGCACCCAACTTTGTTTTCCCCACACTTACAGCTCAGAGCCTCCAGCCCATTAAGTCCTTTTTGACACAAATTTTGACTTTATGAATCCACAGAAATTCTGTTCTTAACCACGGGGGAGCCACAAAACCTGGTGTGGCCTTTTCCTCCAGAGAACAGTGATCTCTACCCCTTTTTTCCTACCCACTTGCTGCCCCTCAGTGCCTCTTACTCGAGTACTTGCTGATTCACAGCAGCTTGTATGAAAGATTTCTACAGTTGCTTGGAGGAAACTCACCTTTTTTTTTTTTTTTTGAA